AAAAAATAAAGGGCTGTGAATTTAGTTCAGGTTCAGTATAGAGAGCTTGCCTAGCACACCTAAGGCCCTGGATTCAATCCCCAGTACCACCACCTAAAAAAAAGTAATTAATAAATAGTATAAAGGGCTGGAAATGTAGCTCAGTGGAAAACCACTCCTAGGTTTAATCAACCCCAAGTACCCAAAAAAGAAAAAGGTAGAAGAAAGCAAGGTGGGTGGTACACGCCAATAGTTCCAGCTACTCAGGAGGCTCAGGAGCTGAAGGCCTGTCTGAGCAACACAGTGAGACCCCCATTTCACAAAACAGAAGAAGTAGGGATGGGAGAGAAAAGAGATGTGAATGAATGTACAGAGATTATATATATACACATATATATATATATATATATATATACACACACACATATATATACATATATATACATACACACACACACAACACAAAAACATATGTACTTATTAATTATGTCTATAAAGAAATAATAATCTGGGGGCTGGGGATGTGGCTCAAGCGGTATTCGCTCGCCTGGCATGCACGGGGCGCTGGGTTCGATCCTCAGCACCACATAAAATGAAATAAAGATGTTGTGTCCATTGAAAACTGAAAAATAAATTAAAAAAAGAAAAGAAAGAATAATTTGGAAAGCAAAGGTAATGTTAGAACAACAAACAAAACTACCTCCAAAAATTATACTAAGCATTCAGTTAGTATAGAAACATTTACATTAAATGGTTTAAATGGGGTTTCTTTTATTTCACATAAAACTGTAATCTATAAAGACCATTGATATGTATGTACCCCAACCAATGTAGAGAATTTAAAAAAGAACAACTTAAATTACTGCAGCTAGATAGCACTTTAGTATGTTCCAAATCTAAATGGCACTTTGACTTACTATGTCTTGTAAAACAATGACTTTAAAGCTTCTGTTACATTACTCCCCAGCTCCTTTTTTCGCTTTATGGATCAGTTTTAATCTTCTCATACTGGTACTTGAGGTCTTCCAAAAGCTCACTGTATTCCATAAGGCCCTTATAAACTATAAAGTTCATGCTTCTAATAGTTTCCCTCTACTGTTGTAGGTGCCCTAAATAAAGATAATTAGGTCCTCCTTCAGTGGGCATGTTAGGTCTGACTGAAAATTAGACACATACAGAAAGAAAAGAAGCAATAACTACCCTCATCTGAAAAGCCATGAGAGAAAATTAATCTTTACTGACAAATAGATGAAAACAAATATATTCTCCCAAACCAAATAAAAGTATTTATTTCCCAGATTATATCACCTTACTTGACTATTCACAATTAATAGCTAAAATTTCCCACAACATACTTCTTTAAATTATACTCAGACACAGAATTCCGGTATACAGCTATGGTAATGCAGATAAGCAGCATCAGCATATCACCCAATCTAAAAACAGGGAAATATGAAAGCACTCAGCCACATGATAGCTGTCCTCTGGACTCCACTCCTGAAGAGGAAGGAAAAGTCACTCTGATGAGTAGCAGACCCAAACTAATGATACTAGGCAACCAGCAACCAAAAAACCAAAATGAGAAGAAAGTAAGGTAAGTAGGAAATTAATTACAAAAGGGAATACAACTTAAAATTCTGCATTGTTATAACAGCTACTAGGATACTGATAAATTATGTCATATATTCAGATATACAGTCACTGCTTAGAATTCAAGTGATCTGCTGGTCATAAAATTTGCTGTGGGATGGCATCACTAAAATCTACTCAAATTCCATTTTGCTTTGTACTTGAAAGGTTTACTCAACACAGCCACTACAAAGCTTACTTATCATGTATTGTCCTCAAAAGTGCATTTAATAATGGCAAATAAAAAAATAATCTATTAAATGAGAAGATGCTGTCTGTAAATTAATATATTCATAAAGGTAAACTCCTATGCTTCCCCCAGTCAATTTAATTTTTGGTGAATTAAAGGACTAAGCTATTCCTTTTAACTGTGGATACTATCTCAAATCTGCTCTGGATAACACAAGTTGATTCCTTAGAAGTAGCAAAATCACAGAAAAGAACTAGTTGCACAGACAAGAACTTGCTTTATTTTCAACCATCCCAAAACGAATCAGACATTTAATAAATGCATGTTAAAGGTAGGGAAAGAAGGGAGTAGGCATAGTGATTAATATTAAACTTCATTAAGTACACTGGTCAATCCTATAGTTTATAGATTTAAAGAACTTCAAAAATGAAAGGGATATTCTAGATAATCTGAGTTGTCCCATAGTCTACAGATGAAAAAAAGTGAGGCCCAGGGATGTTGAGTAAATGACTCAAGGTCATATAAGAAGGAACAAGTTGGTTCTCAAACATCTACACTCCCAAATTCTAATATTGAGAGGAAAGACACAGACATCTGATCAAATACTATGTAACTGAATCAATTCAGAAAACAATTCTAATATTTTCTAGGATACTGATAAATTATATTTTGTTGTTGGTGTTGTTGTTTTGTTTATTGGTTGGTACTGGGGATTGAACTCAGTGGTACTCAACCACTGAGCCACAGCCATAGCCCTATTTTATTTAGAAACAGGTTCTCAGAGAGAGAGAGAGAGAATTTTTTAATATTTATTTTCAGTGGACACAACATCTGTATTTTATTTGTATGTGGTGCTGAGGATCGAACCCAGCGCCCCACGCATGCCAGGCGAGCGCGCTACCGCTTGAGCCACATCCCCAGCCCAGAAACAGGTTCTCACTGAGCTGCTTAGTGCCTCACTGTTGCTGAGGCTGACTTTAAACTCTCAATCCTCCTGAGGCTGGGATTACAGACTTGTGCCACCACACCTGGCTCTAATATTTTCTTTATTGTTTCTTACCCTAAGCCATATTCAGCATGTCTTTCTTCTCTTTCCCTCTCTGGGAAAGGAGAAAGTCTTGGGAAAGGACAAGAGGGGAGGGTTAGGAAGGGCAGAAAAAGAAAAGAAAGCTTTAAGAATTGCCATGGTCAGAAATGTGTCCTTCCCAAATTCATACTGAAGTATAATCCCTGTTGTAATGGATTAAGAGGTAAGCAGGGTCCTTAGGAAGTGATAAAATCCTCAAGAACAGTATTAGTGCTCTCATAAGAGAGGTTGAAGTGAGCTGCTTTTTCCCTTCCTCCATGGAAGGACACAGCAATCACCCCACCTTCCACCATGTGAAGAGGCAGCATGAAGATGATATCTTAGAAGTAGAAAGCAGCCCCTCACCATACACAAACCTACAGACCCCTTGGCTTTCACTTCAGCCCTCCAGAATTGTGAGCAATAAATGTCTATTTTTATAAATTATACATTCTAGGATACTTTGTTACAGCAGCACAAACCAACTAAGAACAAGGATGTTTCTTTTTCTTTTTCTTTGTACTGGGGATTGAACCCAGGGGCGCTTAACCCCTGATCTACATCCCCAGCCCTCTCTTAATATTTTATTTAGAGACAGGGTCTTGCTCAGTTACTTAGGGCCTCAATAAGTTTTAAAGCTGACTTGGAACTTGCAATCCTCCTGCCTTAGTCTACAGAGCAACTGGGATTACAGGCATTTTTAATCCTCCTTTGCTACATTTTCTTCAACTTGAAATATTAGAACCATTATACATACCTAAGAGAAGTAAAATAAAGCTCTAGATAGCTAATACAAAGCAAGGACTGAGAACTACTCATTTCCACACTTTCACACCTTACAATATAAGACACCTTCAAATATATGATAAACTCTTGTTCAATTAATAGACATAAGATGTCTTTACCAAGTGAATATTTTCACTGTTTAAATATAACTCCTGTCTTAAATAAGAATTCAAGAAATTGGGGGAAATGTTTTTAATACTGAATATAAAACTAAAGACTAGCTCATATTTTAAATGAGTAAAATCAGTCCCACATGTGGCAGACAAAGCTATGCAGTTCTGTGGTCAGGTTCATGAGCTCTACAGCCAAGATGCCAGGTTTGGATACCTGCTCCACCAACAACTAGCTGCAAAACTTTGGCCAAGTTATTTAATCCCCTCCCCTCACCTTTCTTGAAGCCTTACATCCCCCACTGTAACACTGGAATAACCTTACATTGATTCTTACAATAATAAATACCTTACATTGATTCTTACAAATATTAGATGAGATAATCCAAAGCACTTCACACAGATTCTTAAACATTAAATTATAGTATACAATATATACATAAATTTAGTTGTAAAAAGTAACAATTTCTCTAACAGGCATAAAATTATAAGGTGCTGGGTACTTGAAATGATTACACTGGCCTATGTTAGCATCAGTACTAATGAATTACCTGTAAATCAGGTGTTTTTAACTAAATGCAACTAAATATAAAGTAGATTTTAAATAAATCTCTTTCTCAAGATAAAAGTTCACTGCCAAAATTCCATTATTCTAAAAGACCAACCTACAACTATCATTTCTCCTTAAGTAAAACATTTTACAGCCAGGAGTACTATTCAAAACACATAATGCCCATTCAGAACAGACATAAACCAGTACACATGACCAGTGAGTGCACAATGGCAAAACATCATCCCAGCTTATCCTCAAGATCAAGAAATACTGTTTGAGCCAGGCATGGTAGTGCATGCCTATAATCCCAGTGGCTTGGGAGGCTGAGGTACAAGGATTGCAAGTTCGGGGCCAGCCTCATTAACTTAGCCAGGCTCTTAGCAACTCAGCAAGACCCTGTCTGAAAATTAATAAAAGGGTCTGGAGACATGACTCAGCACGCCTGGGTTCAATTCCTAGTCCCTTATACCATCCCCCAAAAAGAGAAAGACAGAAAAAAAAGATATACTGTTTGTCATGGAAATAATGTCCCTCTTCTGTGTTGTTTTTTTAAATGTAAAATTGCACCATACTGGCATACAGTTTAACAAAACACAAAAATATACTCATTGTACCATGCCACAAAAAGGGCAGAATGTATTTCATTCCATACAACAAGATAGCTCGCTGATTATCTCTCTGTCTCACCTCCAGGTCACAGCTGTATTCAGTGCCATCTAGGAGGGTCACTTTACACTGGACAGTTTTGGTCTTCTTGGTGGCTTTCTGAGAAGTCTTCTCTGCTTTCAGTTCATTAGTTTGCACTTCCTTGGTCTCCCTTGGTGCTGCCACTTCATCTTCCTGTATTTCCTTCACCTCTTCTCTCTCCTCCCTGACTTCTTCAGCAGGCTGTCAAGGAGAAAACAATTAAGTGCATGCTAAAGTTAACCAACTTGCAGAAGACAACATATTAAAAAGAAAATCTTTTTGTTCACCCCCACCCCCAGAGGGGGGTCTTGCTATTGTTGCCCAGAATGGCCTCAAACTCGTGTGATCAAGCAATCCTCCTGCCTCAACTCTCAAGTACCTGCAATTAAAGGCACATGTCACCTAGCCTGGCTTAAAGGAAAATCTTGAAGATCTGTGCTCAGTATTCAAACTATCATAAGCCTAAGATTCTAAAAACTTTGAAAATTATGCCATGAAGAATATTTCCCCTCATCCTCCTTCTACTGCCAATTTTCTCATTTTGTCAAGTTGGTCACTTTAGCATTAAATGACTAAAAGAAACTATATCCTAGGAAACACAATTTAAATATCATGGAAATAACAGAATTTCCAATTAAAATCTCAAACCGCAGCAAAACTAGACTTCATTAGGCAACCAAAATGTACTATTTACTACTTATTACCCACTGAATACATAAATAAATGAATAAATAAACAAACAAACAAACAAAGGGAATATTATTTAAAACAAAAGGTAGCAGGAATCTCAGAGTATCTGCTTAACCTTAACAGGAACCTGTAGGAACCTTTTAACAATCTGTACAGTGTTTTGTTGTTATTGTTTGGTTGGTTTTTTTTTTTTTTGGGGGGGGGGTTGGTATTTTTGATTTGTTTTTATTTTTTTTTTTTTTTTGCTTTGTTTTATTATTTTGGAATTTGTTTCAAAAAGGAATGGCAGAAGTCTAAGGGAGACCAATCCGATACCTGTATCCCCAAACACATTAAGCCAAACCAATATCACAATGTAAGAAAACTGGAAATGATCCCAAACAGACCCTTTTCCTTAAGTGCTTAGGTTCTCATTCCCAATCACTTGCTCTCAAAGATACCTGAGTCTCAGCTTTGCTCACTGAAGGTTTTCCTTCCTTGACTTCCACCTTAACCTCCTGGTGTTTACTCTGAGCAGTTTCTTCAGCATCCCCTTTGGCCTGTCTCTCTTCTTCTGGAAGGGAAACCTCTTTATCTAAAATCTGTTCTTCCACAACAGCTTCAGTTGGCTCTTTTTTATCTCCTCCATCTTTGGCCACTACCAAATTATAAGACTTCTGTTTCTTGAGCCATGGGGGTATAAATCGGGAAATACCCCTACTCTCAGATGTATCCTTCTCTCTCTTCTGGCGGCGTGGACTGCTTTGGCTTTCAGCAGGTGGTGGTGGCTGGGAACCTTTTTCCTCCTCTGGTTCAGATGACTGATGCTGCCGATTTTCTGCTACTTGTTTAGCTTTCTCCTTGGTCACATCTGCTCCCAACTGGTCAGAGTCCTTCTTCACTTCAGATGCAGAGCCAACTTCAGTAGTCATGGTCACGGCTTATACTGTAACAAAACAAAAGTCAAAAAATATTTTATAAAGTCTCCCAATTTTAGCCTGGTGGCAAGGGGAAGGGAAGGTTAAAGCAGGGTGGGAAGAGAAATGACAGAAATGAAATGGAGAAAGCACAAGAAAGAAGGTTCATAAGCACAAGAGAAAATGGAGACTGCTTTCTTACTTTTAGAATTCTCTTAAAGAATCATAGAACCAAAACTAGCATCACAATATAAGTTCTATATGGCTAGAACTTAAAAAAAAAAAAAAAAAACAAGACTTAAGAAAGACTGATCACCAGGCACGGTGGCTCATACTCAGCTACTCTGAAAACAGGAGGATCACAAGTTTGAGGCCAGTCTGTGCAACCTGAGACTGTCTCAAGATAAAAATTAAAATTAAAAAAAAAAGAAAAAGAAAATATGACTGGGGATGTGTAGCTAGTGTAAAGTGTCCCTGGTTCAAGCCCTATAATGGGAAAACAAAATGAAAGGGATTACTTTTATTTTGTTTCACTTACTTATAAACAATGAGCACAATAAAACCAATTTTTTAAGAAAAAAATACTTCTGTGTATTTGGTAGCCTTTATACTGTAACATGAAAATGTTGTCAACAATGCTAAAAAGTACTGAGACACATTTCACTGCCTTTTCACATATTAAAACCAAAATCTACAAAAAATGCTAGGTATTACAAGAACAAATTTTAAATGCTGGAGGCTTGATAGTAAGAAAATTAAAGTTGAAACAAAAATGTACTGTTTTGTGCTTTGATATTAAATCTTGTAATTCACCCATCACTATTTCAGTACAAAAGCTAATCTAGGAAAGGTACTGAAACCATAATCAAAACTCCAACTTTATTCAATCCAACCTCAAACACATTTTTCTTTGTGTATTTGATTGTAAGAAAAATATCGAAAGGCCCTAATCCAAATGAAATAAAGATAATATGGGGGTCAAAAATCTAATGATTGATCCTATCGCATCTAATGAAAAGAAAATTTTAAATTAAATCTAAAAATAACTGCATGTCTAAATTTTACAAAAACAAATGGGGACTTTTCAAATGCAGCAGCAGCACCAGCAAAAAGAAGAATAGGCAGGGCCCATGGGAGAGTGGACTACACTTCTCCCCTCTCTTGCTAATGATTCAAGTATTCAAAGTTGGGGCACCCTGGCCAATAGATAATGTCATTACCATCTTCCTAAGTGGTACAAATTTAAAAGGCAAAACAAAAAACAACAAAACTAAAGCACACTTGTTTTAAAGCAAATTTGAGATATAATGCAATGCATATACCATAAAATTCATGCTTTTAAAGTACACAATTAGTACTGCTATCAATTACAGAACATTTTCATCATTCCAGAAACAAGTCCTGGACCCTTTAGTAGTCACTCTCCACTCCTCTCTTCCCCTGTCCCCTAACAACCAACAATCTATTTTCATGTTTCATGGACTTGCCTATTATGGATGCTGCAAATATCATAAATCATACAAGACATGCCATCTTTGCTTGGCATGTTTTCACAGTGCATCAACAATGTGGCATGTATCACTGCCAATTTTGTTTCCTGAAATACTACTCACATCTTCTGAAAATCATATATCTAACAGATAATAATATTTTGCTATCCAGAATATATATAAGAAGAAATTTTTGTAACTCAAGAATAAAAAGACATAAAACCAATTTTTAAAATGGGCAAAGGTTTTAAAAAAGACATTTCTCTAAAAAAAATATACAAAAGACCACTAAGCACATGAAATGATGTTCAACATGGTTAGTTATCAGTTATAAAGCAAAACTATTATGAAACACTCCTCAAATCCACTAGGACCATTATAATCAAAAAGACATAGTACAAAGTAATGATGAGGATATGGAAAATCTGGAATTCACAGCATTACTAATAAGAATGTAAAATGGTACAACTACTTGAGGAAACAGCTTTCAAAAATTTAAATACAGATTTACCATATCACCCAGCAAATTCTATTGCTAGTTATATACCTAAAAGAAAACATCTGTTTGTATATGAAAGTTCAGAACAGCCTTACTCACCAGTGCCTATCAACTGATGAATAGATAAAATGTGGCATGTCTATAAAATAGAATGTTATCCAGTTAAAAAAAAAAAATGAAACACGGTACATGCTACAGCATGAAAAAACTTTGAGGTTTGGAGGTTCTAGAAGTTATTTTAAAGGCAATAAGACATCACAGCAAGCTCTTTATAATCAGAAGAGTAATTGTAATCAGATTCTTATTTCATTTTTTTTTACATTAACCACATTTATTTCAAATTAATTTGTCTTTTGAAAGCACCAATATATGACACTCTTTGGATACATATATTTGATGTGTCTTCAAATTTGTCACTTTATGTATTATGTTCTTTTCTTTACTCTCCTTTTTATAGAATTTCTTTTTCCAAATTACTGATTAGTGAATTTTAGACACTTCAGTTTAACAGTGCAGTCTGTAGATTTTCTTTTTAACCTCAGCTAAAATACATCCCACTTTTTATAGGCTTATTGTTATGTAAATGACTTCTAAAAATCTGCATATATAACACCCTAACCTGACCTTACTCTGGACTATTGATATCTGAGTGGAGAGAGAATCTCCCCTTGCTAAGTTGCTGAGGCTGGCCTCCAACTTGGCGATCCTCCTACCTCAGCCTCCCGAGTCCCTGGGATGACAGGTGTGCACCGCTGTGCCTGGCCCCTCAGGTCTCTTACAGAAAGATGCCTTCCCTCGGGGTCAGAAGGATTCTTATTTCAAATTGTCCAACATGGTTATAAAGTAAAGACTGAAACAGAAAAACATCTGGGAGAGTACTACAATAATTCAGACATGGTTTTGTACTATGGAAGAAGTGGGGTAAAGCAAAAGAAGTAAATCTCATGGTAAAAATGTAGTAGACTGGAAATGATTTGGGGGTCTAAATAAATATACAAAGTCAAGGATCAAAGGAAGGTTGTCCCAGGTCATGGGCCAATGGGGGAATAGTAGAACCATCCACGGAAATACTGCACACCTGAAAAGTGAATCTTGTCAAGACTTTTAACTTTTTTTTTTTTTAAGGTGGGGGTGCTAACTAGAGATTGAACCCAGAGGTGCTCTACCCCAGCCTTTTTTATTTTGAGACAGGGTCTTGCTAATTTGCTAAGGCTGGCCTCAAACTTATGATCGATCTCTTGACTCAGCCTCCAAGTTGCTAGTAGTATATACCACTACACCTGGCTCAATTTTGAATCCACTGCAATTGAGAAGTTTGTGGAGATATCTAGACACTAGACACAACAGGTTTTGAAGGAGGCTGGATATGCACTAGAGATGCTACTCAGAAGTTATGGTCATATGGGTACATGGTTGCAAACATGGATGATACCGACTTTACCTAGAAAAACAATGTCACTTGATCTTAAGAGGATCATAACAAGAACACTTATCATAACCCACAGATGATGAAATGGCACGAAGGCCAAATATATATATATATATATATATATATATATATATATATACACACACACACACATACTGAGGCAGGAAGATCGGAAACATAATGTCCTTGAGGGTACTGTTATAAAAGAGGGAACAGTTAAGTATCATACCCACATGCCCAATATTACTTTTCTCATTCTTAGGCATTGAAAATGCAAAAGCATGTCTTCTAACCAAAGACACTTAAACTGGCTCCATACTGCACAGAAAACCTTTTTCCCTTTTTAACATGTCATTTTCCATGCACATTTAAGAGAAAAATATTATTTACATTAGTCTTGAAATAACCAAAGTTGACTTCTAGCATATACTCTCTAATTAAATTCTGAGAATTGAATAAAAACCCTGGTAAAATTGGAAAAAAAAAAAAATGTCCCAACCCTTGTCTAAACTAACCAAGATAAACTGACAGCTCTTTAATTACTCTGGTTGTAAGAAAGTATCTGGGGACTAATCAAAAACAGCTGAATTTCAGCCAAAAATTTTAAAGGCAATAAAATATAAAACCAAAGTTTCCACTATAAGGTTCAAAGTATTAATAGGTGTTTATATTTCAATCACAGGAGGTACCACTCATATCTTAATGTGTCAGGAACCATGCTGCTACTCAAAACATCTTACAAAGTAGATATTAACTTAATTTTGTAAATAATAACCAAAATAAGTGATTTGTCCAAGACCACTAAATGAATAACTGCACAGCTGTACACATTGCCTCACTAATACCTCATAATGCAATCCCAATCCCATTACACATGAATGATCTAATTAATCAGAGCCCCTGCTCTAGTCCTCAGCAAAGATCCATGCCAGTTTGTTAAAATGACTACAGAAGAACATAAATGTATTCTGTGATTTACTATAAGTAGCTCTTCCCCCCATAAGAAATTTACAAATCAATATCACATTTGAAAGTTATATTGAAAAATATTTGAAAGTTAGCCATGTGATCATAACCAAACTATGAACAGAAATTGAAGACAGAGTGCCAATACAGAGAGAAAGAACACAGATAAACTATACCCGTTGTGCCTCCTAGAGTTGTCCTCATCAGTACCACTGTACTCGCAATTTTAAGTTTCAAGAACCTCAGAGTTGAACAGTGTTACCCATCCAAATGGAAGTAACAAGACAGTAAACAACAGAAATGGCTAATTGGTTTGAGAATATTCAATAATAAGGGTAGATAAAAGTATAAGTAAATAAGCATATTCCTATAGTAGTTTCAAGAGCTCTATAGAGCTCAAAACCGAAGATTGCCTTTTTGTTGATAAAATGATTTATTGACCAATTTGCCACAATTAATAAAACATGATAATACTGTGCTCCCTTCAGCAGCACATATACTAAAATTGGAATGATATGGAGAACATTAGCATGGCCTATGTGCAAGGATCATAGGCAAATTTGTGAAGTGGTCCATATTTAGGAAAAGAAAACACAATGGTAACTGATTGATTTTAAAAAAAAAGTTCTAATGATTATTGAATGA